GCTCATTCTGAGGGGTGCAGCTGAAACCAGCCCATGCAGGCAGTGCTGCCCTGCTCCCTGTGCCACACTGGGAATCCTTCTCAGCTATCCCACCAAACAGACTCATCCTTTGGGGGGTCACAGGTGCAAAGGGCTCCTGGGGCTGTTCCTGCACTGGTGTGAGCGCACCAAGCCCTTGCAGCGCCCAGGTTTGCCGTGCTGCAGGGCTGTGTGTGCTGCAGGGCTGTGTGTGCTGCAGGGCTGTGTGTGCCCCTGTGCTGCTGGAGGCAGCTCTGGCTGCCCTTGCTGAGCCCCCGAGCCTCAGCTGCATCCCTGGGAGCCGGGGCTGGCCCTGAAATGCAGTCTCTGGAGCAATTAGCAGCTCCTGCAATGGAGGTTCCCGTTGAGAACTGCTCTGACATGGCCACAAAGCTGTAAACAATAGCATGGAAGAGCTCAGGTCTGAAGCTTTAACTTTTAGCAGACTTAAAGAGTTTAATTTGAAAAAATGAGTACATGGGCCTTGAGACAGCTTCAGTTTTCCACAAGGTTACTGATTATTCAGGATTATGCAGCCAGGCATTGAAATCCTTCTTAGGAAGCCTAATGTTCCTGTAGCAGAGGATTTCCTTTGTGTGAGACCATGGTGTTTAATTGGAATCAAGGCTGGGCAGCCACACAGAGTCTCTCTTTCAAAACCTGGAGAATTTAATAGAGGATAATTCCCTTTCTGCAGAGCACCTTGTTAAAAAGAAATCTTGGGAGAAATTCTATAGCAAGGACATGAATATCCAAAGTGTGTGGAATTATCACAGCCTAATATTTCCTGTAAATGCCGTGTTAGTCTGTGTGAATGAGTGATCCTGGTGCTCTGTGCTCCTTAGTGCAGTGAGTGGCTGCTCCCAGAGCCTGACCTGCTGAGCTCCAGGTGCCTTCCTGGTGTGCCAGAGGGATGGCATGAGCTGAACACAAGGATGAAAAGTGCTGAACACCACTATTCTTTGCTGATTATCCTGTAATTTATTTTTTTTTTTCACTGAAATTGAGATTCCTGTAAGAGGCACTGGAAAAAGCTCTCTGCTCACAGAAGTGCTGTCATAAATATTTAAACATTTATGTAACCTTTGAATATGTTAGCAACATTTACATTAGTATAACAGAAATGGGTAAATGGGTTTACAGACAAAAATGCAAGATGTGAACCTGATGAATACGAGCAGGACATCCACTGTAACCACATCTCCCCATTTCAGTCCTAAAACCACACAGACACCTAGAGAATGGACTGATGCCTCCCAGATTTTCAGTCTCCATAAACCTGGCAGGATTTCTGCATTGAAACCTTCTCTTTCTGTCCTTCTGAACTGGGCTGGTATCTCCAGAGGTGAAAACCACTGGAGATTAAACCAGCTTGGACTAGAGCAGGCTCGCATGAGCAACCACTCATTTAATTTTAGGTTTTTCAGTTGTCATCCTTTCCACTCCTGTGTACCACAGACACAAACCAGTGCCTTCAGTTCACCATCCTTTGAAAGGAAAGGTCCCTTAGCCTGTGTTTGACGTGAAATTTGTCTCTCTAAAGCTGCCTGTAATTGAAGGGAGATTTCCCAGGAGTCTGTAGTGGGATTTAACCTGGCAAACCCAGTGTTCCCCAGAGGTGCCAGCAGCCCCTGCCTGGCTGTGTGTCCTTGTCACACCCTTTGTGTGACCTCCAGCAGCTCCTGCAGGACAGTCAGGGTGGGATCCAAGCTGCATCTGAAATGGGGACGTGAAGGGACACCCAGGGCTTCTGCACTGGCCTGGGGACAGTTCCAGAAATGTCCTTTACCCTCACTGCAGCCCTTCTGTGATTGCCTCTCCAGATCAGAGTGCCACAGGTACCCTTCAGGAGGGGCTCTCTTCATTTGCAGGCAGCAGTTTCCTCTGTCAGCTCAATAAAATGTGATTTGTTGCAGAGAGAATCTGTCCAAGTCATCTGGAAAGGCAATGGCCTTTGTTACAAGGGGGCACAAAAATATAATGCCAGGAAAAAGACAAAGAGGAGGCCTCCAGGGAACTGTGCTTAGCCCTGGCTTTGCTGTCTGCTTCTTTATTTTAGTTTTAATCTGGAGAAAGAAGTTAGGAAAATAGAAAAAAGGGAAAAGTAGCTGAATGCAGCTTAATAATGAAAGAAACTGCTGAAATAGCATCAGAGAGCTCTTTAAAATGCAAAACTTCTTGCTGATCTGCTAAGCAGGAAAGAAAAAACCCAATCACTTAAAGGTGGTGGCTGAGCAGGCTTTCCCTTCATCATTGCTCACTTCTTCTGATGGCAGAGATAAAAAGCACTTTCAGAGGGAGGATGTTTTCATAGTAAAGCATAAATACTACAGGAGATGAGAGACACATCAGGGCTCACAGTCTCCAGCCACTGTTAGAAACTTTCTTGGCCTGGAGAGCTGAGGGATTGTCCCTGCACTGCTCCCTGCCCTTCCAGAATGTTGGCAAAAGCCTGGGGGAAAACAGAAAAGCACTTCTGTCTGTCAAAAACTCTTCAACAAATATACCTTTTTAATTAAAAAAAAAAATATTTGAGTTCTAATATGACACTTTTTTTAAAAAATCTGCTTTCTATCCTTCCTCCATGCTCCATGTGCCATTGCCTTTGGTTGTCCCCAGCAGCCCTGTGTTTCCATCCAGGAGAACAGACCCAGGCAGTGTAGCCAAGCCTGCCCTGAATAACTGGTTAGTCTGGGGACACCAGCACTGCCAGCTGATAATCCTCATTTGAACAAAAATGTGCTGGGAATGGGTGGAAGGGAGCAGATGATAATGTAAATACATGTTCAGGTGGGAGAAGCATTTCCACCATTACCCATGCTCGTTAGGGGTGATGAAATAGAATTCTGACAGGATGGGAGCAAGAGCAGGAGCTGGGATCTGCTGGCTTTGCTGGTAATTTCTGCAGACATACCAGCTCATTTAGTAATGTAACAGCTCCCATTGCTCACCACTTAATGTATGATTAATGTGCCACTGGATTTCCCCAGACATTTATGACACCTTTAGGAATAGAAATGACAATGACTTTATCACATGGAGTCACTTCATACTATCTGCATCTCTCTTAATGATTTATATATCCAGGAGTGATTTTATCACTAGTACTCAGTAACATAATAAATGAGAAAACTCAATGGTCTGTAAATTACAACACTGATTAAAGAAGTGATTACTGATATAACTCTTACATGGCTATGATAATGCTTGCTTATATTCCAGGACAGCATTTACATATTAATGATAAATCTACTGTAGTGTTTAGAAATACTTTACAGCTTTAATCAAAATGTAAACATTTACAAACAGATAATGTTTATTGCAGAGGAAATGCCTTCTGTTACTCTTCAGTGGGTGAAATCTGCTGCAGAGCCAGTGGGGAAAGCAGCATCACCCCCGATGGAGGTCGTGTTCAGGGCAGGGCTTTGGCTGCTCGCCCCTGTGCTGCCCAGTCTGGGTTTGCTGGGTTCCTCTTGGCCAAGCTGGGAAGAGCTTTGCTCATTAAGGATTCCCCAGCCCTGCCATCAGTTTGGAGCTCGCTGCATTGCAGAAAATCAACTGCAAGCTTCATAAACAGCATGCAGCCCTTGGACATCTCCAGCACATTGTGTCCTGAGCCAGGGAGGTGTTTGGTGTTCAGCTGCTCCCACTGCACCAGGCCATCATGAACGTGCATAAACAGGGGAGCCTCTGTTTGCTTTGGGGTTGAGCTGCCAGGGTGACACTTGGAGCTCATTTTGTCACACTGATCTCCTTTTCTCCTCCCCTCTCAGGTGTCTGACAGGTGTGACTACGTTTTTGTGAATGGCAAGGAGATGAAAGGCAAGGTGAACGCGCTGGTGAACTTCACCTACCAGTACCTGAGTGCCCCCCTGCAGATGACAGTGTGGGTGCCACGCCTGCCCCTCCAGATCGACATTTCTGACACTGAGCTCAGCCAGATCAAAGGCTGGAGAGTCCCCGTGGTTTCCAACAAAAGGTGGGCTGGAGTCACTGCATTTCTTGTGTGATTTGTGAAAGGAATGCTCCCAAAACGCTGCCTCTTCCCCTGAGGAGCAGCATACTGGCACAGCTTTGCACTGGGCATCTGCAGATCCAATAAAGCTGTAAAAGCTGTGGGAGTTCTGTTTCTGTGCATGTGTGTGTCTTGGGCAGCAAAACACAATGTGAGACTCTGGTAAGGTGCCCTGGCAGAGGTGTTGTTGGGAGGGGGCAGCACAGATAAAAAGGTGGCACAGTGCTGTTGTGGGGTCCTTCATCACGTGAGGTGGGCATCCATGGTCCAGAGATGCAGAAGGGAGGGCTCTCTTTGAGGGGCACTCTCCATTATCACCCCAGTGTTATGTTCAGTGGTGTTTTGGGAGCGTTTCTCCATGCTGTGCTCTCTCCTGCCCCAGGCCCACGCGGGACAGCGATGACGAGGACGAGGACGAGCGCAGGGGCAGGGGCTGCACCCTGCAGTACCAGCACGCCATGGTCAGGGTGCTCACCCAGTTCGTGGCCGAGGACTCGGGGCCCTGGGGACAGCTGAGCTACCTGCTGGGCTCCGACTGGCACTTTGACATCACGGACCTGGTCAGGGACTTCATGAAGCTGGAGGATCCCCACATTGCCAGGCTGCAGGAGGGCAGGATCCTGGTCGGCCGGGAAGTGGGCATGACCACCATGCAGGTACAGCCTGGGCA